CGCTGTGCCCCTGGACCCTACAGCCCCGCGGCCCCGCTGGGGTCGGGTGGGACTTTCCTTGCCAGGAAGCCCCCGCACCCCAGCTAACGCACTGCCAATACTGCTCCGGTTCGTGACATCGTACGTGACGTTTTCGGGGGCTGCACTTCGAAGGCGACGTTGGCTGCTGCGCTACCCTTCCTGCCCATGCACCACATTCATTTGGGAAATGAATGCTCAGAGAACATTTTCCTTTCTGGACACTGGAGCCCAAATCCTCCGTGCTCTGATTACGGTGGAAGCTTTCAAACCACTCAGCAGGATTTTAAAACTTAAGGAAAAGTTTGAGATGCTTTAAAAAAAGAAGTAGTGAGTATTTGTAAACTACAGCCGAAGACATAAAACAAGATTTCTTTAGTTCTAGCTAGGAAAGGAATTCTATCACCTCACAGTTCAGTTTCAGCTACATTCAGGTCTAGGAATCTCCACATTCTTACGTAATGCCGTAAAGCAGCAACAGACCTTACACAACACAATTAAACGTTATCAAAAAAGTCTTAAAAACAAAAATAAAAACAAGATTTGGTTTCTGTATCCTGCATGTTCAGTGTATGTAACCTGACCAGGGCCCCCTCCACCTGCTGCCGCAGTCTGGGGATTTTTGGCAGTTGCTTCAAGAGAGGTTTTGGTTGTTTAAGAAAAGCAATAATTCGCTATAGTTCAAGTTTGTCTGCAGCACCCCGGCAGCTGCCGCCACGCTTACTGCTCAGCAAGTTGTGACTTCCCAGCTCTAGGCTAAACCGGATTAGTTAATGCTCTGGAGGAGACTTCTGTCTCATCAGTTATGCATAGAGCTCCCTGCGCTGGGTGATTAAAGCTCTTTTGTCCATCATTCCCTACCAATCACTGCCGTTAGTCCCTTTCAAGAAAAGTTACCCTGCCAGGTTCTTTGGTTAAAGACACGTCCTCAGCTCTCCCTGCGGGGCCAGGCCGCCTTCCCGCAGCTCGTGGCCGGGGAGGGATGGTGCCATGGCAGAGTCCGGCGGCCGTGCCCGTCCCTCTCCCGCCACGGCAGCGGAGCTGTGCATCTTTACCAGAGAGACGAGGGACGCTCGGCTTGCTATTCGCAGGCAAAGTAATCCTTGAGCGGGGAAAAGAGGTGCCGGATGACGGGGACGCTCCACGATCGCTCCAGCAGCTTCTGGCGAGCCCCGCGGCCGAGGTTGGAGACGTCCGTGTAGTGGAGGGGGAAGCCAAAGATCCTGCGGAGCAGAGGCAGAAGACAGAGGGGGTAAGGCTGGGCGGCTGCCCCGCTCCCCCGGCACCCACCAGCCCTGCCA